CACCTGATCAGTGATTTATAAAAAATATTACCATCGTCAGTAACCAAGCTTTGTTTTGTTGTTGTTKTATCATTATTATTATTATACTAAAAACATATTCGTACAAATTTTATTAAAACGATGTAGATACAAAAATTAAATGTTGACGAAATTAGATATCTTAATAAAAAATAACGATTATAGTTCCCTATTTTGTTGTAGGTATCTTCTATCTATTTCAAAACAAAGATTATTCAAAAACAYAATTTCGTATATTATATATTATATACTATACACAGTCTATAGCTATCCTCAATATTCCTAAAGGTGTAAAATGGGATGGAAATTGTTGTTGGTTGTAACCTGTAGGTATATATGAATTATATCATAATAGTTTTAATGTTGTGAATATACACCCGWCTATAGTCTAGTTAATTATAGTTGTATTATCAATATGAAAGGTTATCGGAACAAATTCGTGTGTTACCATGTGATAATCTGCAGAGAACAAATTCGATAATTGTTCTGTGATTATTGAGAACCAACTGTCCAATTATTCAAATCCAAGTCACCCGACTGAAGAAACACTGAAATTAGAAACACGTAATTCCAAAATAGCTGACCTATCAGTTGCTTTTAGAAACATATTTAAATATGGATTATATTACTATATTAAATACCTACCAATTGGCTACCATATAACATTCTTGGAAGTTCTACGCGTTGTACCTACACACTATAATATAAAATTATAAAAAATAAATTATACACAATTATTCATGATATAACATTTATTATTTTTTAATTATTCATTGAAATGTATATAAGGGCTGGTTAAAATTTGTTTGCTGGCTGGATTTCATAATAATCAAACATTTAAACAAACAATAACTAATAACTCAACCGGAATTTATAATAATTTATGATTATTCAAAGTAAAAATATTCAACAAATAAACTTAGGTTTATTCAAATCTATGAGCGTGCCTATATGGAAATCGATTGTTGGATTTTATTTAATAAATAATGCTTAGCCATATTATATTTACTGCAGTATGTGAACAACAATGAGTAATTCAATATGAGTATATTTACTGCAATATATACTTCAGTATGAGAACAGACAGCAGCATATAGTACAATAATTACCTATTTATAATGTTCGTATTAATTCATTCGTCGTCAGCCAACACACATTCCATCAGTTGAATGTTGTGGAAACAGTCAATGGACATTTAGTATTAGTCAACAAAATCGTTTTTCATTATAATATATTGATAAATGTCATAGGTTTATATTACATTATTACATAATTCTAAATTCAGTATAAGGAAAAATCTTTGTTTTTTTTTAAGGTGACACCGGTTTGCCGCCAGACGTGACCCGGACAGTTCCGACCAGTTGGCGACACTGCGCTTATTCCCTCCATTTTGTTTTATTTACTTGCTCTCTTTTTCTCCCGTTGGCAACCAACAGACAACAAACCCGGTTAGAGTGAGAGATAAATGGCGTTCGCCGTCCACATCTATTAACTTTGATGTGTTTGCGTTTGGTGTGTAAATAATAATAAAATCGTTACAATATTTACCCGTTCCGGGACAAAACTTTGTACATACGCGCGTCCACAAATACTCTAGTCACATTTAACCATTTTTTTTCTCTGTCAACGGTTGCAGCGACAACAGCGGCCGCCATCACTGTTCATACTTTCACACGCGGACCGCGGCTACAGCCGTCATCTTAACAAACTGGTGAGCTTATTAAAATCATATTACTCGAACTAATTTTATTTGGTGGTGGAAAACAGACGACCCTCACCGGTTAGCCATCACAACTATATAGTTGGTGACATTTCCGCGAACACATTCTGTTTTACTTCGTTTGTGGATCGATCCTTTTATCTATAACGTTATATTCTTATGTTTTACAGGAGGACATGACGCAGCAACCGAATGCCAATGGCCGGTCCAATGGACCCGGCCGAGATGACGATAAGAAACTGTTTGTCGGTGGCTTAGGTAGAACCATCAGCGAAAAAGAATTGCGTGAGTACTTCACTCAGTATGGCGAGATCGAAAACATCAACATCAAGACCGACCCGTTTTCTGGACAGTCCAGAGGATTTGCATTTGTGCAGTTTGTTAATGCTAAGACTGTTGACGATTTATTGGCYGTTGGTGATCACTTTATTGCAAACAAAAAAGTTGATCCCAAGAGGGTGAGTTGTGTTTTTTCATCTATGTATGTGGCTATTAATATGACAGCGTGTAGTCATTTTGTCAACTAAATAAAAACCATAATCTGCGTTAGTCAAATTTAGTTGACCATTTTTATACCATGATATATGTTAAAAATTAAACATAAGGTACAGTACCTACTTAGTTCTACAAAAGAAGAAGTTTGTGATCTCATTCGTTGCTGCATCCTCCTACCGTTTGTGCCTATTTAATTATAATTATCAAACTTTTGGCTGGTAGTTAGCAACTTAATATTGCGGATTGCAATTAGGTTGTAATTTTATAAGATATGGAGTAAATTTTAACTCTTGCTACCACTGATTTCAGTTGTATGTGCTAATGAGTTCCTTCTCTCGTAGAACAGAGTTTATATTATGCACTATCAAATACTTCATTTGGATTAATATTTATTCAAAATCTATAGGTATATAGAAATATTTCATTTATAGGTCATATTAAAATGTACTACCACTTACATTATGYTTATTTTTTTATATTTATAATTTTATATAATTGTCTTTAAATTAATTTTCATTTAGTTATTGTTATTAATTTTATTTTATGTTATCTTTACAGGTAACAAAGAAAGTCAATCCACTGCGTTGTAAAATTTTTGTTGGAGGCTTAACTACTGAAATGACTGAACAAGATGTACGGAATTATTTTCTTCAATTTGGTCAAATATCCGAGTATCAACAACCTTTTGATAAAATGAAAAACCAAAAGAAGGGTTTTTGTTTCATAACGTTTGAGGATTCTGAAGTCGTAAATCAAGTTTTGAAAAATCCCAAACAAGTTATTAATGGTAAAGAAGTAGATGTTAAAAAAGTCAAGTTCAATCCTGAAACGATGACAGCTCCTGGAACTAGGACTGGTGGTTCAGTAGGTGGTGCTAGAGCACCTGCTACTTTTGGCTTGAGACCAGCATACCCTGGTTATATGGCACCAGCAGCTGCTTCCCCCTATGGTACTGCTGCAGATTATGGTTATGCAGCTAATGCTTATGATGCATATGGTGCATATGGTGGATATGACTACTCTGCAATTGGCTATGGAGGAGGCACTGGTGGAGGCGGTGGTGGTGGCGGTTATCCAGCACAAGCCTATGGAGGYGGCAAATATCGAGAAGCAACATATCCTCGACATGCACCTTACTAAATTTAAGACGCAAGTATAATGTTTGACGAATAATTCTGGCGGACACATTAAGACTGTGTTATAATTATTCAATTTTCACCACATTTCTGTATGATATAAAATACTACCAATGAAACATAACACAAAATTATATGTTTTACTATACAAAAGTTTGTTATTAATTTATAACAAAATAATAAGCCTAATTGAACAGGTCAAATATTAAGGTCTAATAATGATGTAAATAAATATTTATAATTTTTTTGTATATCATTTTAGTAACCTACTTTGAGGTACTTTGAAGTTAGTGACTTTAAAAGTAACTTCAGTTTAAACCTTTACCTATGTGGCATCCTTGACATTTGTAATTTTTGAATTTCCTTAATATGTTGAATATTTGTATTTTTTTGTTGAATAATTTTGTATGAAGTCATTATATTTCTGGCTTCTACTAAGTTCATTTTGGCTTTGTGAATATTAATCTACTTTAGTAGATCTAAAATATCATGGTCATATCTTACTATTTCCATGTTTATGTTGAGTGCTAATTGCTTAACCGACAAAAATTATATTTTAATAGTCAATTTTTTGTTATTTTTTTTTTGTATATTTATATTTATATATATATATATATTATAAAAAATTAGTATGTATATTCCAAAAATGGAGTTATTCTTTGTGTGTTACCACATCTTTAGTATTATATTTTCAAKACTTGTTTCTATTAAAATTTTCAGTTTAAAATTTACAAGGGTTTTATTAAATAATTTAATTTGGTCTTCTGAATGTATGTCTGTTCATTAGGTTGTATTAGAATTAAGTTAAATTTCAATTCTTTTCTTATAATCACGTTTAATTAATTTTTGTGTGCTTTTTCATAAATAATAAATATCAAAAATCCTAAATGAAAATAATAACATAATGATGATGTTTTTTTTTTCAATTTTTTTTTTCTTTGTCATGTTACAATTATTTGTCAAACTTTTTCTGTTTGTAAATAATGTATTGTAAATTATTTATTTTTATTTTTTTAAACCCATTTTTACTTAAGGTTATTTGTTTTTCATATAACTGAAACATTATTAAGTTAATTTCATTGTTTCATTTAATATCAATAATAATACTATTATTGATAAACTTTTTATACATCAATCTTATACATTTTAAGTATCAAAATGTAAACACTACATGATTATTGGCTACATTGTACGTTATTTTGTTTGTACAACAGTATTTCATTTTTCAATTATAAATGAAAAACAATCTGAACTGTCTATTGTTTTTAATTTTATAATCTTGTGAAATTGGTTAATTAAATACAAAAATGTATTGATAATATTGTTTGTTAATAGTTAATTGAAATCAATTCAAATAATTTACTAGTATAACTATTAAAAAAAAAATGATGTACAATATTTTATTTGAGTGGGTAATAATTATTATTGTGATACAATTAAATGTACCTCAATATTATAAATTATACATATTATGTTCCTCAATTTAATTTTTAAATATTGATATTTTTTTTATCAAATTATTTATGCTAAAAACAATGATTAATGAAGGTTATATTTATCTTCTATTTTAATAGCTATAAATCTTTCAGAAGTTGATAAGTTTAAAAGAAAAATTAACCCTAAGCTATGTTCTTATTGTATGCCAAAATTTGATTAAATCTCATCTATTGGTTCTTATATTCTTGTATGTAAAATTAATTTACACTTAAAAGTAGGAAAACATATGAAGTGTAAGTTGTATACACAAGAATATTTATTGAGTTTGTCTAAACTCTTACAAGTTTTATAATATATTCAGGCATATGTGTAAATATGATGTAATAAATTGTGATATTTGTTATTAGTTATGCTATTACTGAGGTTAGCATTTGAAGAGAAAAATTCAATAGTAATAAATATGCTATATTCAGTAACTTAATATGTTTAAATTGTCACTAAGCTGGTTTTTTTTATTTTTAATAGATTTTCGTTTCCTTTTAATATATTTAAAAGTAAACTACAAGCAATTTTTTACTCAAATTGTAAAAATAAAATAAAATTATTCTTATTAAATACATATCATTGCAAACTACTAACATATGGTCAGCCAAATAAAATTTATAACATAACATTGAATATGAACAACATTTTAAATATAAAATGTATGCTTTAACTTTAAACACATGCTGAAACTTAATATTCGAAAACAAAGACAATTGCCAGATTTTTTCTAGATTATGATTCATAATGGAGTTGACCGTTTAATTTAGATTATGTTCATAACATTCAAACAATTAACAATTAATTTTTTTTTAAATAAAAATTAAACAGGTTCTTTTGTTTAATAAAGATTTCCAATTTTTATTAAAAAAAATCATAATTGGATCATTAGAAAAAGCCAAAAGTACTGGTGTACTTTGATGTTTAAAAAACCATTACAGGGGAAAATTTAAGTACATACATTTATAGTATGTTATAGATGTTAAAAAAAAGAGAAATATGCTGGCCGACTCATCATAGTTTGCATTTTATCTTTATTTTTGTAAAAAAAATTAAATTATTACACGGGAATAAGAATGACACATATTTTGGTAAGATGCCCATGTCTAAATTAATATGGTATGGTACAAATCTCTATTAGACTTTCCTTTTCTTGTACTGTTTGTAAAATCATATTTATTAACAAGATTATAATACAAGCTAAAAAAAATACAGTTAAAAGGACTGGAGTAGGCTAAAAMTTTTAAATTGAAGAAAAACAGCAACAGGTAAATCTTATAAAGGATACTAATTTAATAAGTTAATTATTTAAAAAATTCTAAAAACAATAAATTAATAAGTGAAAAATGAAACATTCAACTCTCACATTTCTTTTAAGATAAAATTTCTTTATTCAAGCTTGAAAACCRCGATTCATGGGATTACCTCATCTACCCAAGTTTATCAACTATTTATATATAAAAATAATAATTATTGTTTCTTATGCTATTACTATTATAATTTGTCAAATGTAACTATTGGCAACTACTTATACACAAACAATTTTCTTTTCCTAACCTAACCTCATTTTGGTCTAATATTTGTCACATTTTTTTTTAAACAAACTGGACTGACCATTCTTAATAAGTGGTTGAGGTTACCGACAAACATAATTTAATTTTCATTATATTATAGAGTAGCTGTTATAGTGTTGCTCTTGCCAAAGATTTGTTTTTTTTTTATATATGTTAATTAAAAATTATATATGCTATATTTCTAATTAAAATAATAATACAATATTATACAGAATTTACCCAATGGCAATTGTATAAAGTTATAAATAAAAAAATGTATTCTTTTTTCGTGAGCTGGAAAAAATTTGTAAGCTAAACTTAAACACACTCTAAGTCTAGCCTCCGTGGAATATATTATAACTTATTGAATACAGCTTGGTAGTTTTTGAGTCTATTAACTTTGGATTAATCAACTCAGGTAAAAATATTATAATTTTGAGTTAATACTTAATATTATATCCAATCATAATAATGTCATATAATGTTATGGTACCACTAACTGGTGGCATTCATTTATATAGAAAAAAACTACTTATTTCTATAACTGTTATATAAATATTAAGTAACCAATGGCAAAAAAGAATGTGTACAACAATCCCATGGGAAACATGACTCAGTCTCTTTCCTCATTTTCTTTCTGTAAAAAATCTCATTTGGACTACAACGGACATTAAAAAAAAAAATATTAACTTCAGTAAACCTTGAATCTTGATACATTTATAGATATTTTCAAAAACTACAAAGTCAAATGATACCTAGTCGATGAATAAAATCAATATAATTGAATAACAAAAAATATCACATTGCARGCATTCTGCAAGCTATAATAGACTTAAACTATGTTTAATAGCTATCCAAAAAAAGATGCATCAGTTCTGGGAACACAAATTTCTAGCTTGAATTTGGTGATTTTGAGGAAACAATATATTTAGAAAAAAACATAAAATCAAATTTTAATAGACAAACAAAATAATATGTATTACAATACTATTATTAATTTTAAACAAAGCTAAAATCATTTTTTGAAGGTGTAAAAAAAAATAGTCAATTCACATTTAATAATACATAATATGACCGATTCACAACTTTCATTCAATTTATATAATAGGCCAAAACAGTAAWTTCTGCTAAACAATTTTCTAAAATGTATAACATAATATATATAAATAAAAAAACCTTAAAAATGATTGTTTCTTAATGTTAATGATAAATACTTTTCAATAATTGCTAATTAATGACAATTATTAGATTTACACACTTAATTACTTAATTGATGTAAACATAAAAAGTTAATCAACATAACAAAACACATAAACAGTCTCGTTGTTAAGTTATATAAACAAATTTACACATAAACAAAAACTAAAAAGGATTGAAAATATAGTCATTACAACAGAATAGGTAATACAAGAAAATTAATAAAGCATAAAAAAATGTGATAATTCTTCTTATTCATAAGATATAATTATAAATGAAAAAATTTAAGTAGTTTGTTAAAAAAAATTGTAAATGTGTAAAAAATATAATAACAAAGCATTTAAAAAATAGGTTACATTAAAACGTAAACTAAAACAATAATAAATATAGAATAAAATATACAAATACATATTCAGAAAGATTCAAAGTTTGATGGATTAATGTATTTGACCCATATATTTAGATAAAAATGTCGATGTAGGCTTAATTGGAAACTAAAATATTTAATTAACTACGCAAATGACTTTAACTATACAATAACATATAATTATTTTCTTAATAAATACACACTTTAAAAGTAGTATATGTATATATTATATATACAATTAAGTTGGGCATATTAAACATTAGAACAGTTTTTCCTGACTTTAGACTTAAGAACATGGGATAAAAGATAATCATATAATATCATGGTAACCTGATAGGTGGTAGAATACTCATTAATGAAACAGAAAATTTGGCTAGTGTTTAAAAATAGAAAAAAAACTGTTCCCATGTTTATAAATAAAATAAATGTGTAAGAAAACACAAATTTATCATGTCAG